ACAACAGAGAGTTGTCTGTATGGAACTTGGCAGCTCCACTTCACTCCTGACCATTCTTACAAGTCTCTATCTTTACCTGTATATGAATAAAACCACTACACATGGTTACAATAATAATACTAGACTTCAGATATATTTTAATATGCTGTTTACAAAGTTTTTTCTCAGTCAATTGCGAAATCATCTTTGCTATATTAGAATCTCCAGCAGATATTCCACTATAGATACCTGGGACAGTTTTCTCAGATATAGGACAGACTTCAGCTAGAGTGTGAAATTGGAACCTTTCTTTTCTTTCTTTTTCTTTTCTTTCTTTCTTTCTTTCTTGCTTGCTTGCTTGCTTGCTTTTTTGCCTTTTTCATGTATTCTGAATAGTGATATGAATTTGTTTTTCATGTATTCTGAATAGTGATATGAATTTGTTTTATATATTTCATAAACTATTCTCTTATTTGTTTTAAATCTTCATACAGCTAAATAAAACTTAAAAGGACACATACATGGAATGTTAATTCTTCCATATTTATTAAAATCATTAGGAAGATCAATAATCTTTTGTAGTTAACAATGACTGCCATAGTTTGAATCTTGAATGTCAAAGGCACTATCCCTGGGGAGGCCCTACTGGGAAGGGCAATGGACATTTAAGAAGAGAGGGGCCTTAAGATAGTCCTGGCAAAGAATCTTAATAGCTCAATAGCTACTCACATATGACCATTCAAAATGACGCTAAATGAAATGAACTCCAAGACATGGAAACAACAAGTCTTTTTTTTTATTGTTGACATTGTTGTCACCAATGTACTGTGCTAGTTCTTTCTTCTTATTTTATTTCATTTTTCTTTTTCATTGGTTTATCCCTGGCAATCATTGTCTTTGATTCTGGCACCCTGCATCTTGTATTTACATTTATCTGATTTGGAAAGGAGAAGGGAAATAACAAAATGCTGAAATAAGGACAAAGAATGACACAATGAAACAACGATACTCACAAGACACTATGTCAGAAATGAACTTTACAACTTCCAGGGATTGGGGAAGAGTGGGGGAAGGAAGGGATAGTGGGAGAAAAACAAAGGAGGGGTAACAATGTTGGACAAGAAAAGTACTCATTACCTTATTTGTGTAACTGTAATCCCTCTGCACAGCATCTTTACAATAAAATAAAAAAATTATACCATGCAAAAAAAGAGGGGGGGGCCTTATGGAATGTCTTTAGATCACTGGTATGACCTTGAAGGGAATTGGGGGACTCTGACTTCATTTTTCCTCCTGAGATAAGCTATTTGCTCTCCTCCATGCTATCCAAGCGCACTCATCAGAGGCCTGAAGCAATGGATCTACCAGTCTTAAACTGGAGCTTCCAAACCTGTGAGCCAAATAAGCTTGTTATAGATTGATTATCTCAGAGATTTTATTATACTAACACAAAGTTGACTAACTCAGTGACTAAAAAGCATATCAAGTTATGTGTCAGATACAAGGGAGATTACAATTAATAAAACCTAACTTCTGCTCTTGTGATGTTCACCCTTGGGTGAAAACAAATTAAGTACGAATATTTATTCATCTGGAAAAAGAAGTTGAAATATCTTGTAGACACAACAATGTACATTAGCCATCAGTGATTTTCCCTTTCAGTGGGAGATCCACTGTTGATGCCTCTTATTCTAGAAGACTGACTGGAAATGAGCAAATAAGATGTTGAATAAAGACAACACTAAGAAGTTTAGCTATAGAAAGAAAAAGAAATTGATGTGGTTAGAAAAAGGAATGTTGAGGTTAAGCTCTCTCTCACACACACATTCTCTCTCTCTTTAGTATTAGGGTATCAGTTTAGAACATAGCACTTACTAGGCAGGTATTGATTTTAGGTATTTTTTTATTAACAAGTTTTTTTTATTGTGAAAATACCATACAGAGGGGTTACAATTATATGAGCAAGGTAATGAGTACATTTCTTATCAAGCATTGTTGCCTCCTCCTTTGTTTTCCCCTACCATCCCTTCCCATCTCCCCCCATCACCACCCCACCCCCCCCCACCAAAGTTGTAAAATTCATTTTTCGACATAATGTCTTGTACATCTCATTGTTGCAATGGGTCCACCTGTATCCCTAGTTAAACGATTTGTTTTTTCCCTTCCCCTCCACAAATTATACCAACTTGCATGATTTAATCCATGCATTTACTAGTGGCTTTGCTCTGCATTCCTTCTCTAATTTCACATTCACATGTGGACTCATCTCTTATTGATGATGGTATGATAGCAGTGAACATAACTTATTTTCACTTCCCATTATTTCACTCCCTATATATTATTTATTTATTTTTATTGGCAATACTAGGGTTTGAACTTAGAGTCTCACACTTGCTCAGCTCATTTACTTAGCTAGCACTCTCCCATTGGAGCCACACCTTCAGCCAGCTCTGCTTTTTGCTAGTTATTTTGCAGATGGAGTCTAGTGATTTTTTATTCCTAGACTGGCCTTGAACTGAAATCCTTTTAACCTCAGCTCCCTCAGTAGCTAGGATTATAGATGTAAGCCATCAATATCCAGCTTTATTTTATTTTTAAAAGAAATGTCTCTGTGTACAGAACTCTAACTTGGCAATCATTTTCTTGTAAACGTTTGGAAATATCATTTATTGACATCTTTCATTGCTGGTGTTGAAAAGTCAACAACCAGCCAATTGTTGCTTCTTTGGAAATAGTCTGGCAATTCCTCTTCCTACTGTGAAGTTTTTCTTTTTTTATTTTTAACCCTTTGTGTTGTGTAGCTTTAGTGTGAAGTTTCCAGAAATGAGTTCATATTGATTCTGCTCAAACTTGAACTTGGGCAATTGTGTGTTACAGTGTATGTTCCATTGGTAAATCCTTGAGGAATCAAAGTCAGCATACAGAAGAGATATGTGCACACCTGTATTGTTCTTACGGCCCTACACACAATAGCCAAGTCATCAGATTTGATCACAGTGGGCCAAAGTACCCACCAACAGATGAATGGAGAAAGAAAATGTGTCACATATACATGTTGGAGTATTATTTAGCCCTTAACAATAACCAGATGTCAGTGTTTCACACCTAGAAAGCTATCTACTCAAGAAAATGAAATCTGAGGTTTAAAATGTAGAGCCAGACTGTGCACAATATCTGGGACACTTATCTCCAACTAACCAGCAAAATGTTGGAACAGCAGGCATGGCTGAGTGACAGCTATGCAGTTGAGTGACAGATATGAGTGAAAAAGCTGAGCAAAAATGTGAGTCCCTGAGTTGAAGTACCGGTACCAGCACTAAAATGATTCAATGAATAAATACAATTTTGCAATTGATAGAAAAATGTATGGAATGGGAGAACATTTTGTTAAGTAAATTTAGCAAGTCTCAAAATTACAAATTATCTCATGTTCTCTCTCATGTGGATTCTAAAAGTATCAGTAATAATATTAATGATTAATAATGAAAGAAGAAGGACTATGGCTATTAAGTAATGAGGGAACCAGCAGGAAGCAGGATTATAGGAGTAGATAGTGAAGGGAATACATAGGGTCAAATTATTTTATGTACATGTATAACATCTTAATGAACATTATTATACTGTATAATTAATGAACAGTAATAAAAATCAGAAGAATTTGATTGGCTTTTGAATCTTTGTTTTGGTCTCTTTCATCACTCTGCCAGACTTTCTCCAGAGCTTTTAACCCATCCTTTTGTGTATTTCTCTTCTTGATTTCTCCATTACTCATTTTGTATATTTCCCCCTTATCTACAGCATTTCATTTCATTTCATTATTTGATTTTATTTCATTTTTGAGGCAATATCTCATTATGTAACCTAGGTTGTCCTCTAACACACGATTTCCTTTGTTTCTGTCTCCAATTGCTGGGATTTCAAATAACTCGCAGCTTACCTTCCTATTAGTTCTGTTGATGAATTGTTCATTAATCCAGATATTAAGTTTATTTGGATGGATTTCATTTTATGTACAAATATTTTATGTGGCTCTTTTTCAATCTGTTAGGCCAAGTTTTATAGATTCCTGGATTCTTTAAATGAAGTCAGAATAAATGTTTACAATCTGTGTCCAATAATTTCAGTGTGTGACTTTTTTTTTTGGGGGGGGGGTCCGGTTGTGGGGCCTGAACTCTGGGCCTGGGTGCTGTCCCTCAGCTCTTCAGCTCAAAGCTAGTGCTCTACCACTTGAGCCACAGCACCACTTCCGGCTTTTTTCTTTTTGCTTATGTGATGCTGAGGAATCGAACCCAGGGCCTCAGGCATGCAAGGCAAGTGCTCTACCACTGGGCCACCTTCCCAGCCCCAGTGTGTGACTTTTTAAACCTATTTCTTCTATTATTGCTAAAATTTTCTCCTTATGGTTTTATGTTGCCTAGCTGGGTTCTTAATTTAATTTTTTAATGTACATTTTTAACTTTCCTTGGAATTTTACTCGAGAATGATGAGAATAATGTAGTCTTCCTACTTAGAGGCTTCAAATTTACTTCTCAAGTACTATCAATCTAGACTGTCTTGAATCAAACTCATTCCTGAGTTTTCCATAAGCATCCAACGTCTGGGAATTTAAATTGCAAATCTGCAAAAAAGTATCACCTGTAGTCACAAAGAGTAGTTTTTTCCTCCTATTTCCCCTTCTCTGTTCTGTTTCAAAGCAATCTTTCCAGCAGTTTCTTTCTGACTCACCTTTTTCCTTGATAGCTTAACCATTTGTAATTAAGACTTAAAATGGGGCCAGTCTCTTAGTAAATTTTCCATCCTGGACCATAAGTTATGATCCCATACCCAACAAGGCAACAAATTCACAGTGTAATTTTTCCCGCATTAGAGAATGCCTTTGGGGAAAAATGGTTTTAACGATTTCCTTACTTCTTTGAGTTTCCTACTTTTTCTTACAGTTTGGTCTGCGAATTCCTTAATATATTTCAAACCTTCCAAGTTTTATGAGTTATATTCAATATTACATATAGCATGATACTCACATTTTTAGTCACTTTTTAGCAGGAGAAATGTATCCAGATAAATGATCCAAAATTATATTTCTTCAAAACATTGCCCCAGGTATGGAAGAAGAGAAAATATTATTTCACCAAGGGCTAGAATTTTTCTAAGGAAGGTGATCACAATGAGGATGTTATATCAGTTTAGATTATTAGTAAAGCTTTGAAGTCCTGGAACATGAGCTGAGTAAGGAGAGATTAAGATATGAAACACTGGAAAAGAGAATAAATATAATAGAGGTTTCAATGAGGTCAAAGAATTTATATATCAGGATAACTTGTTAGGGACAGGTTTGGGGTATGTGTCTATAATCCCAGTTATGAAGAAGGCCATAAGAAAGAAAGTCACAGACCTAGGCTGGCACTGAAGAAAAAAGTACAAGATCTTTTCTAAAAAAAAAAATAAAGCCAAAACAAAAACAAAAACCCACTTACCAACAACTGCAAAGCCCTTCTACCATCCAACTCCAGTACCACGCAAAGCCCTTCTACCGTCCAACTCCAGTACCACAAAATAAAGCTTAGTGAGTGAGCTAAATGGAAAGGAAGTTATGATCAAAAAGAGTAATGTCTAGTTATGTGATTTCCAAGATGGAAATGAGACTAAAGTGGGCAGCTATAGTACATTGGTTTCATTTCCTTGAGAAGATGCTGAGGTTAGCCAAGTTGACTCAGAACTAAAAATGAAACAAACTACATGAGGCAAGATGGGAATCTCTTTGTGAGCAAATGGAAACGATTATTACAAAGACAGAGTTCAGGAACAAGGGAATCATAAAGAGTCATGCCAAGTGACATTTGCCTCAAGAAGCAAGGATAACTTGAATGAAGAGGGGAGGATAATTATCTGGTTTGGCTCAATGAAGAGTAAGATATCGCAGATTTTATAGCTAAAGAATGTGAAAGTAAGAGAATTATAATGAATCTGAATTGCAAGAAACAGACTTCTCAATATGAAATGGCTTTCAGTTATATCTCTGTGGATTTCAGGGAGCATGTTATGATTCACCTTCTCTTCTGCAAGGTTCAAATCAAAATCAAGAAAGGATATTAGGAAATGTCAGGATTTGAACATCAAAGCATTAGATTTACTAATGTTCCAAGCAAGTGTTGTGGTAAATCTGTCATAGAGAATATGAGATATGTTTTATGTCATGAACAACAAGTAAATGTTCTCAAAGAATTTCCATAGGAAAGACCCAGAGAACATGAGATCACCATTAGAAGCAAAATAAAATTATAAGAAAGAAATAACTTGGAGATTTGATGACAATAGCATAACAGAATCAGACTTAATAGCTTCATATTCTATAATTAATACCATACAATAGACATAGTAGAATATTCTATCCAGAAAGATCACAATGCACATTCTTCTTAAGGCTATGTCATCAGCATAGTTCTGGATAGATTGAATGTTAGACCACAAGACAAATCTTAGCAAGTTTAAGAAGACTAAAAGAATCTTTTCCAATTATAATGATATGAAACGCTCATCAATTAATAGAGAAAAGAGAATTCATAAAAATATGGAAATTAATAACCAAATGGTTAAAAACAAGAAAGTAAAAAAAATAAATTTTTCTTGGGACAAACAGAACCTGGAAATACGATATATCAAGTCTTATAGAATGAAAGACAGGTCTAAGAGCTAAGTTTATAGCAATAAATGCCTTCATGAAGAAAGGAGAATGAGCTCAAACAACCTAATTTCACAACTCAAGGAGCTAGAAAATGCAATACAACTAAGTCCAAAGTGGTCAAAGAGAGGATATAAAAGTATTAGAGTAAAAGTAAATTAAAAAATGAAAACCAAGATCAAGATGCTTTGTATTTATAAACTGCTTTGTTAAATGGAAGCCCCTTTGTATAACTACTTAAAGGTAATTTTTAAAATGGAAATGAAATAAGAGAATCTGAAGTGCACAGTCAGACATGTAAAGGGTATAAGATCATGACAAGGACATACTCCTGTTACCATAGCAGGAAGTGGACTTGGTTTTCCTTTGAAGAAAGGAGATTAAAATTAGTCCAGACTAACTGTGCACAGGTCTTGGCTAAGATTATTTACATAACTTTATGCTTGTCCTGTTTGACCCAAAGTCAAGTTCGTTGGACATTTCTCTAGTTAACTAGCCAGAGAGAGTATTGAAGGATCCCAATTCTGTTTCTGATGGCGGTGCCATCAGTAAGTAGGCTCCAGGTTGAGCCTTAACCCTCCAGACACTTCCAGATCCAAGCAAGGAGGCATCAGGCTCTCCAGATTCAGATTTAAATAGGACAACACTCGGTTGCTTTGTCTATGATTATTGCAGTAAAGCTTGATTGAAGGCCAGAAACAAGCCAAGTATTGTACTAACCATTAATAGGAATGTTCTTACCTACTTCTGAAAATATCTCACTAAATAATATTGTAATAGGTGTTTTAAATGACTGAGTATTCATATAAATTGGTTCTCCATTTGCATTAATTTTGTTAGAAAGAAGTCATTTTGCTAGTGAGCCCTAGTACACCATTAAATTTGTTCATGACTCAGAGTTTGTTAATCTGCTTTTATTTTCCCAGACTTCATCTTACCCCATCCCAAGATCAAAGAAAATAAAGTCCAAAGGTGAAAGGAGGGGCCTAACATTTTCACAGTAATTATCAGTATTACATTCAAGAAGTGAACAGACCAATGTAGCTCACATTTTGTAATACTAGCTACTCAGGAGGCTGAGATCTGATGATCATGGTTCAAATCCAGCAAGGACAGCAAACTCTGTGTGGCTCTTATCTCCAACTAAGCACTAAGAAGCCAGAAGCAGAGCTGTAGCTTAAGTAGTTGAGCACTAGCCTTCAGCATAAAAGCTCAGAGACAGCACCAAGCCCCTTAATTCAACCTCCAAGACTGACACAAAATAAAAAATAACAATCTAACAGACCAGCAATGGAAAAAAGATTGTGGCCACAAATATCTGTGACTCCCCAAAACAATGTTTTTACCTCTAAGACTCAAACACTGTGAGATGAACAAGTGAGGGGGGGGGAAGTGTTTCTGAAGACATCTTGTCATGTCATTCAAAATCAGGGCAATTACACAATAGCAAAGACCTCTAACAGGACTGCATTGGACTCTAGAGGCAAAACAACAAGCAATATTGCAAATATCAACACACCCTAGCCAGAGGCTCAAGCAAGCTTCCTGGAAGTTTGAGTTAGCATTAATTATTGTTTCTAATTGCTGTCAGTTAACTCTCCCCAGTAGCCTCCAGGTCAAGACATCATCCCGTGAAACATGGTGTCTTTCCTCAAAATGCCAATTTCTGTCATGTAACAGAATCTTGGCTTTGGTGTTCTTTTACAGAAACACTGATCTAATTACACTAAGTCCTTTATTCTGTGTTCTGGGTTATGGGCAGAATTCCAGAATCAAACACCTAACATTATTCCCAATAGAAGGCCTTACTTTTCAACACTTTTTCAGAAGTAGATATTTCTCCTTCATTTTAAAGTTCACCATTCGTTAAGATACAATACACTTAACAGCTTGTCTCCTAACCACTAGACTACCTGGGTATCGGAAACTCTGTACTCTCTAAAATAATTTCAGTAAAGATCCTTTTCTGCTATCCACTAGAAATATAATCAGAACAAGTTTCTCTTAACTTAGTCCCTGCGAGCTGCAGGATCCTTTCCTAACACTATAAACCTATGATTTCCATTCAATTTAATCCATTCACCGAAAGAATGGCTCCCCTTTTTGTTATTTAAGTGCTCCTTAGGGGGGAAACTCACATACTTTCTTCCCTCCCAGTGTATTTCAATATTTTGCAACATTTTTGATGTTTTCTTACTGACATCTAGTTAAGCTATCACTTAGCTTTTGAATAAGGTTAAATATCATGACAATTATGTAGTTTATTCTCCTAATATAACAGTTGTAGAATCTGACCTCTACCATTTAAATGATTGACATGTCTGACCAGAATGCACTGTTATTGTTATTCTACTAGATTTTTTACCACACCACTCAACAAAGATCTTTATTTGCTCTATGAGTCCAGGAGTTTCATAATTTTCCCTGTATATTGCATGCTTTTCCTGAATCTTTACAGAAATATATACATACACACAGAGACAGGACTAACAGTAGCTGCCAACTAAATATTCATTATGTTGTTGACTTCCATTTGACCCTGAAGTGTCAGTGTTACTTAATGTGACGATATCAGGATGATAGCACAGCAGATGCTGCCAAATGAAAAATTTGCTGCAATGAGCTTCCTGTGAAATATTGAGGCTGAGCAGAGAAGCAGTTTCTCTGACAAAAATACTTTCAGTCACTCCCTGTACTAAATCACACTGTGGAAGCTGCTGGCACTCTGGGTTTTCCATTGCTAGCAAAGATACCCTGATTGTGCTTAGCCAGAAAGCATTCAGGTTCAAGACTAGGAGATCATCTTCAATACCCTCTGTTTTAATCGGAACAAAGGTTTTGTTTGGTGAGGTGTTTTTACATCCCATGGTACTCAAGGATCTCATTGGTATTAAGGTACTCTGTGTTGTAAAGGAAATAGCATATGTCCTCACCAATACTTTAGAAGCATGTTGCATTCTCTCATTTCTTTTGCAGTACTACTCAGCCCCCATGCTCTCCTGAAGTGGAAAACCTCACATCACACACTGTACAAGAAGACTTTATTATTTAATTGCCTATTTGGACATTCTAGTTAGTGAGGCCCAAGCAAGGTCATGTTAGCTTAAGTTTAGACAAAGTAAAGAATGACACCACTGCAAGTGGAAGGGCAAGAATGAGCTGTGCAAATACAGTGTGGTAGCAAAACCCATCAGAGCAATTTCCAGCTCTCCTTCTGTTACCTGCTGGGACACTGTGAAGCTCTGATGACATTTACTGAACAGCCAGAAGGGACCTGAGAAAAAAATGCATGGCTCTACTGAGGAACTCCAAGGGCAAGCAACTTTCCACAGGGAGAGACTGGAGAGACAGGGATAGTGTATTCTGCGTTTCTCCATGGATTCAGAAAGCCAGCATCGCCTCCATCAGTAGCTTGTAGCAGTGTCTAGGGTAGAATGAGACATATGTCCCAGCCACAGTTCAAGAACACTCCCTGACGACACCATGGTAACCTTCATTCCACTGACTGGAATGGACCCATTGGTCTATTCCTGGCACGATGCTGAAGGCTGGCTCAAATTCATTTCTCCTTATTTAGTTCAAGTTGTAGCACATAATAAACTGCACAGTGACAGGATTTCCTGCGGCTTTCAGGTGCATCCAACTTGGCAGGCCGTGGGTTGCTACATTTCTAGGTCCAATGGTTAAATGAAGGCACCTATTGCTTCCAGACTCTAGTCAGAAAGCAAACAGATGTCATCTGACATTAATCATTGAACAGCTAGTTAAGGATCATTTCATTCATCTATACAACAAGAAAATAATTTTAAACTACTAAGGAAGGGCCAGGCATTATTCACTGCCATGCCTGGTACAAATGCAGACAAGACATCCCCCTGGAGAGAAGTTTACAGGAGAAGGATGCATGTAATGTACTACAATGAGTGTGGC